AGTCGTGGCTCTCCGCCTCCCAGTCCTGAAAGAGAGGCCACGGCGTAACTGGCGCCTTGTAGCCCCGCCTCTCCACAGGAGCCCCGCCCCTTCCAAGTGGTTTGGGACGTATCACTGGTGCCTTGTAGCCCCGCATCTCCACAGAAGCCCCCCCCCCCCTCTTCCAGTGGTTTGGGACGTATCACTGGTGCCTTGTAGCCCCGCATCTCCGCAGAAGCCCCCCCCTCCCTTCCAGTGGCTTGGGGACGCATCACAGTGACCTCACGGCCACGCGGTTAGCGCAGGGTCTGGATGCCTTTGGAGCTACTTAAAGGGGCCAGGCAGCTTTGCACTGAGCAAACACACCACTGACAAACCCCAAGAACACCTGTTAGCTGTAACTTGCCACCTACTGGTACAACAGAGCCAGTCTCAATCCTATACATCCATCCATCTTCGAAATGCTTATCTGAAGCAGGGTTGTGGGGGTCATCCTTAAATATTCATAATATCATTACTTCAACCGTTCAGGATGCGAATTCTCCGTTTTACAAGGTGATTTGGGAAAACTCATTCATATTCATGAGAGCAGCGCTAGCTGATTGGTCAGTGAATGCCTTAGACAGAGTTCACCGGCCAATCAGGTAGCTTCCCTCATGAATATAAATGTTTTCCCAAACTACCCTGAAAAACAGAAATGTGTGCCCAGGGTGCCCCCTGCCAATACCCTGCACTTCCTGGGACAGACTCCATTGCCACCATGACCCTGTACCGCATAAGGGCTTATGGAAGACGCATGGATGGATAATTACGCCACATATCAGCCTCTTTCTAGTCCACGAGGTCAAAACGCATAACAGCAGTAACACTTTTCTGCTTCTGTTCCGCAGAAAGCCCAGATCATAAGTCCGCAGGGTGATATTTGGGACAGAATGCAGCTGAGGGTGGCATGTCACTTTGGGTGCCAGAGGACAGCACCCCCTACAGGGGGAGTGGGGGTGTGAATGGATCAGCTGCCAGCTCCCGGTTCTGTGCGTATAGGTGGCGCCCCCTAGCCGATGCCCTGGGTAAAGACGGCCCATTTGTATATTTGTGTCCTGCTGCTCCTAACTATGGCTTTTTTTCCATGTCACCCATCCCGCAACCAGTCTCCCTGCTTCTCTGGTCCTGCCCTGCCCTGAAAGAGCTTGGGGGGGGGGGAACACCACACAGACAGAGCTGCCCCCCCCCTCCCCAACGAAGGACATGTGATTATGCGGCAGGTTATGTTATGACGTCGTCCTTCACCGACCAATGCGTGTGCAGCTCGTGCCTTTTCTGGGATTCAAGCCTACAACCCTCTGGGTGTCAGTACAAGAGTCAAACCGCGACACCCCCCCCCTGCTGCCCGATCACAGGCAGGATTATACCTGGGAGTGCCAAAGCTAGAAAAAGAGCTTTAAAAGACTGTCTAAACCTGATGCATGATTAATCCTCGTCTGGTATGGATGCAAGCACCTGTTCTGTGATGCGGGCCGATTCCGCCATACAGAGAGAAGCATGCCAGGCCGCCATGAGCACGGCACGTCATGACCCGTCTGTGTGGCGTTTGGAGGTGAGCTCTGAGGGGCTGAATACGCACATCAGTCGGCCCACTAAACACCCTGATTGTATGGATTCATTATTTTAATTGGATTGTTTCGCAATATCTCCCTTTGAATAAAGGACTTCACACAGACTGTCTGAAAGGCAGTGCAGGCATACAAGACGAGCTTTAGTGGCTCCTATATTACATATAATATACATATAAAACTGTGATGGTCCCTATATTACATATAATACCTAAAATCCTATATGCCCCTACATTATACACAACTCATACAAAACTCGAACGGTGCTTATAATATATACAAAACTGCAATGATCCATTTATGATTGAAGATCTTCCCATCTCCTGTGCAGGACAAACTCTTCAGATCAATTAATCAATTAAATAAATTAACACAAAACTCAAATCATTTTTTTTTCCCTCAAAAAACAACATCAACATGATGCGGGGCCCCCTGCAGGACAGCAACTGCAGTGATTCCATGGGGACACCAACCACAGGGTAGGTGTCCGATATGCAGCTACTTGTCCTCTCTCCCATATCCGTTTCTGCTTCATGAATTTATTTCACGTGGACCTCATATTTATCAGACAACTCAAGCAGAACTTAGTAACCAGTGTTGATGCCACCACAGATTACTTCCTGACACAGGGCACTCTTACGTTATCCCAATTTTCATTAGCTGCTTTGTAATGAAGAAAGAAGAGTGAAATATCAGTCATAACACCTCAGATATGTGAAGATGTGCGTATATCTGTGTACTACTGTGAACACAGCTCAGGGACACGTCACCTGAATTGTAATGCCTTTGGCCACGCCCCCCCCCCCCCACTCCCGCCCCGCCTCTCATTTAACCAATCACATACGAGGTGGAGGTGACAGACAGACCAGACAGACCCAGAAGGGCACTACAGCTATCATTAGCTGGACAGCTACATCTACGCCAGTCATATATGCTTGCTACAAACCTCTGTCCATGTTGGCGGTGAAGGCTAACATGCAGACTGTCTCATGGGTTAAAGGCTCCGAATTAGCGCCTTTCACACACGCATCTTTCAGGTGTGCTAATTGAAAAAACAAACAAACAAAAAAAAAAAACAAAACCTCCATAGCTTACATTTGTTAAGCTATTTGGGTGCGGGGGGTGGGGGGAGAGTTTGTTGCCCCATTTGGGATTTTAGGCTAGCAATCGCACAGTTGTGGTTGCCTTGGAGACCAGACCACTATATCGCCTGCTGCCAAACATCACACGAGCAGATCAGTAGCGAGCAGATATATCGTAGGTCGAAGGTCGCGGCTAGCGCATTCCGCAAGAAATGAGAACGCAGAAGCACGGCGCTGGGTGCCATTTGTGTTCGGGATGTGAGGTCGAGGACAACCTTCACCTTTCAGTGCAGCTTGATCTGTTGTGTGGTTTGATGGGCAATGTTGGGGTCCATCAGAATCTACCGTGCTCACCTTGGATCCCCCTTACTCTTCATCAAGTGTTGGATCTCAAACAAATGCAATGTGATAAGTAATCGAGTTGCACTTGTAGCCCTTATTAAATCCAAACACGGAACTCTAGGCAATCAGATGTGGTCAAATCCAGGCCGTGCCATGTTCGTGACAGAACTTATTTGTTACGGAATGATGTTAGTAGAAAGAAGTGTTAAAAAAAAAAACAACAACAAACAAAGAATTCAATCAAATATACCCTTACCTTACTCCTTTCAGCCATCTGCTCCTGTGATAGCAAGTGATCCAAAGAAACACTGTTTTAAAATCCTGCTACAGCAAACACACCCGTGGGCCTCATGGGATTTGTAGTCAAGTTTGCGTGTGACGTGATGCACATGCATCAGAGAAGCTACGCCGCTTAGGCATTCTGGGAATAGCGGTCTGTTTCCTGTGAGTGTACAAGTGTGGGAATATCCAAAGTGCAGGTGCTTGGAGAGCCTTTTAACAGACCTCTTATGGGGCATGTGGGCTGCAGGACCATAGCTAGAGGAAGCCCCATTGCAAAGTTTTTTGGGTTAGCAGAGGATTGTGGGATTGCTGGAGTCTACGGCTTGTGTAGGTAGACCAGACCTAGTGAGAATTGTAGCTTATTTCCCTTTCGTTACACGACAGAGTCAGAATAGATACAAACGATAAAACCAGAATGATTATAGAGCTTAGACTCGGTGCTGCTTATTGTAACCTATGTCAAATATAGGCAACTTCTAAGAAAGTGCTGAAAATGTTCAGCGGCTTTCCGGGTTCTTGTTCAAAAGGTGACTGTGCATCACTGCTGTTTACAAAAGTCATCCCTTTGATCATGTTAATAATGACTATTTGTTTATGACTGCAGGCTTGATCTGTGTCTCTAATGGTGTTGAACTTTTATGCCAATTTATCTCATCGGGTAGAATAGTGCCAACTGCTGCACCCCCCCCCCCCCCCCACCCACCCCCTTTAGGATGAGGATGCTTAATTATGAGATGGTTGGAACTCCTTGATTAGATGCCCCTCCTCTTCACTGAGAGAAGAGGAAGAACCTTGGTCTAAGTGATGTCAGCAGGTCACCAATCAGCATGAGGCCAAGTGGGCTTCGGACTTAAGGTATAGGGTCCCTGTTACTGGCCACTGCTACAGAGGCAGATGATTGAATGAGGGGCAGAGAGGCAGTAGGCTCCTCCCCTTTGTGTGATGGGGGCGGGGCTTACCATCTCATCTCCGGGCAGCCAGTAGCCCTCCTGCTCGATGCCGGCCTTGGAGCCTTTGCAGCCCACGGTCAGGGTCTCCACTACCAGCCCGTCCTTCACCGCCAGGCCCAGCTGCCGAGCCGTCTCTTTGGGGTGCACCCCGAACACACGGCTCAGATACCTGGGGGAGAGAGACAGTCCCAGTGTGTATGCTTCACATACAGGAAGCTGGGAGTATTCTTTGCTGGCCGGAACAGTGTGTGTTTTATCACTCTTTAGACAGTAGACAGGGCATGTGAATGTGTATATTAGTGGCCACCAACTGTCTTCAGTCCGACCAAAATACAACTGAATCCGGACTGTGCAATCGATCCGCCCCTTGGCTAAATTTACCATCAGGGACGTCTCCAGTTCAGCATATTTAATCTTCGGGAACCCACCCAAATGAGCAATTTTTTCAGATGCAAGCAGACCTTGGCTTTTGTGTTGCTGATGGAATTTGGCCCATGGACAAAATTAGCTGGGGACCCCAGCTGTAGACTGTGTATGTTGGGGTGCGTCACCGCGTTCTCCGTATACAGTCAGTCCTGCTACAATGTGACTAATGCGTTCCTGAAAAGCCTCGTATTCGCTAAAGTCTCGTACTAGAACACACATATCCGAAAAATTGGGTGAGCGATATACGAATCCTAAACTTAGTAACTTGTGCCAAACTATATGAAGTAAATAATAAAAACAGTGATACCAGTGGCCACAGTGTGCCACATCATTGCTGTGAATCAAGAGTAGTGATGGGCAAAAGGACACTTCATGAACCATTTGCTGTATTTTCTGACCCCACTAGATGGTGCTGTTTTACTCTGGGGCATCATTAGTCCGGAGTAATGAGCCACAGCTACCATGCGGCTGGGCATGCACATAGCACAAATACTACAGATTACGATATAATAATAGATAGACACATTTTACTGATTGTCCCTCAACTTGCTCTTTGTAGAAAGCTGTCTGTGAAGAGCAACCACCTGCTGGGGCACAAGGACCTGCAGATGTGCTGAGGCTGGGTTTGAACCGATGACCTACTGATTACAGGCACACAGGCTTAGCCCACTGAGCCACACGCTCCCCCTTAACGGTATACAAAGGGCACTGAAGGCAATATGGCTACAACCAGTGTACAAAAAGGAAATATAAGTGAATTTAAAAACATTGCTGTTTTTTTTATATGATAATGTCAAATAATTTCAGGTTTTTAGAATCTATGACTTCAACCTGTGCGATGCATGAATGTATAAAAAGTTTGATTCTTTTAGATTTGAACACTGAAAATAACCAGTTCAAAAGAATGATTTGTTCATGAATTGGACATCACTATCGTTCATTTAGATATTGCATGCAAATACCGTTTCTTCGTGTAGTGCTTTTCCCTCTGACTGGAAATCGTGCTCATACAAATGCAATCCCGCATTGTATTGGACTGGGGGACTAATATGTCAATCATGTTGGAAGAGATTTGTGAATTTATATCATGTGTTGCAGTAGGACTGACTGCACTGTGAATGTAACAGTGTGTCACTGTTCACTATAGACTGTGAATGTAACAGTGTGTCACTGTTTGCTATAGACTGTGAATATAACAGTGTGTCACTTGTTATCTATAGACTGTGTGTGTGACACTGTCCTCTACAGACTGAATGTAACGGTGTGTCACTGTGTTTTCTATAGACAGTGAATGTCACAGTATATCCCTGTGTTCTCTATGTACTGTGTATGTGTGTCACTGTGTTCTCTACAGTATGTGCTGTGAATGCAACATCGTGTCACTGTGTTCTCTAAATACTGTGAATGCAAGTGTTCTTTATATAGTGTGAATTCAACAGTCACAGTGTTCTCTATAGACTGTGAATGTCACAGTGTCACTGTGTTCTCTATAGACTGTGAATGTCACAGTGTGTCACTGTGTTCTCTATAGACTGTGAATATAACAGTGTGTCACTATGTTCTGTACTGACTGTAAATGTGTGTCACTGTGTTCTCTGTACTGTGAATGCAACATTGTGTCGTGTTCTCTACATACTGTGAATGTATAGACTGTGTAACACTGTTCTCTAAAGACTGAATGTAACAGTTTGTCACTGTGTTTTCTGTAGGCTGTGAATATCACAGTGTATCCCTGTGTTCTCTATAGACTATGTATGTGTGTCACTGTGTTCTCTTTACTTTGAATGCAACATTGTGTCATTGGGTTCTCTAAATACTGTGAATGCATAGACTATGTGTGTAACACTGTTCTCTACAGACTGAATGTAACAGTTTGTCATTGTATTTTCTGTAGGCTGTGAATATCACAGTGTATCCCAGTGGTCTCTATAGGCTGTGCATGTGTGTCACTGTATTCTCTATGTGCTGTGAATGCAACATTGTGTCTGTGTTCTCTATATACTGTGAATGTAAGTCAGTGTCCTCTATAGACTGTGTAACTATCATGGCGTCACTGCAATCTCTACACACTGTGTCACAGTGTTCTCTATAGACTGTGAAAGTATCACTGCGTCACTGCAATCTCTACACACTCTATATACTTTGAATGTGTGTCACAGTATTCTCTACAGACTGAATGTAGCAGTGTATCACAGTGTTCTCTATAGACTGTAAATGTAAATGGTGTGTCACAGTGTTCTACAGACTATGAATGTAGCAGTGTGTCACAGTTTTCTCTATAGACTGTAAATGTAAATGATGTGTCACAGTGTTCTACAGACTATGAATGTAGCAGTGTGTCACAGTGTTCTCTATAGACTGTAACTGTAACCGTGTGTCGCTCTGTTTTCTATATACTGTGTGTGTAACTGTGTGTCACCGTCTTCTCCATAGACTGTGGGAAAAACATAACTTGTTTATGGTTCTACCTTATTTGTTAACACCCCGCCTACTCAGTGATGAAACCTTCAGCAAATTTGCCATTGAGTTGCATGTCACCCCTACTGGTAAGAAGGTTTCCAGATAATATCTGACTGAAAGAGATGAAAGCAGACATTCTACGCCCTGACAAATATCTGACTTCTCAGAAACCATCACAAGCCTAACACCTCCAAACATTAAGATGAAAGGTTTTAAAATAAACCAAGTTGGGTTGGGTGAAACCTCAGATCCATTCCTCTTCTTCGTTATCCCCATGGCAACAGCAACTTTCTGCTCTCTGACCTTTGATCCACAGCAGCCCACTACCAAAGCCCTATATCTCACGGAAAAGGGTTCTCTGTGGATCATGACAGCGAGAGGCTGATGTAATCGCCTATGAGTGGCAGTGAGCGCATGCTAGAGCTGTTAGCCAATGATCGAAAACACTCACTTTGAAATCCTGTCCATGTTTGCGATCTGTTTTTGGTTTCGGATTACTTCGATGGCCGTCCAGATGTTCTGGACCACCTTCGGGTCTGCCTGCCTCTTCTTCACGACGCGTGACATGATCTCCTTATTCATTTGACCTCTGGAAAAGAAGACCAGAATTAACTCTGAGCTTTTTTTTCCTAATGGATCATTTCTCCTTCCATGTATTTTCCCACCTCTATTCATGATCAAGGTCAGAGGGGAGGGGTCACTTTGCATTTGCTTCAATTTGACTTAACACCAAGGGGGAGCTTGGGGGTGTTCTAGCCCCTCCTATAATGACCATGGCACCCCCAAAAGTTTTTTTACAATGTCTTTAAAATCTGTACATTCCTGAAGCCGGGAAAAGCAATGGAATATCATTATTCATGTACTGTTTTCTTGTGATAACAGGATGATTTTTCCATAGTGTGAAGAGTGTCATTTTCTCGTAAGAATGGAATCATTTTCTCGATATCTGGAGGCTACATGCTTTAAAAGGACTGTGGCTTCTATACAGTTCAATTTACATTGAAGAAGTACAGTTAACACTTCAGACTCTAACATCAAAGCAAGTATTTTATTTCAGAAGCAGTGGTGCTTGCATTTTATGCTGCTTCGGTTAATTTGTTTACTATGCAACGGTTTGAGGTATGTCATTTTCCACTTTGGTCTTAGTCATTTACTCTCTCACACAAAAGCCCACACTTTGCCTGCTTTATCAAATTCTGCCTTACAATAGATTTTAATATTTAAATTAGACATTGACCTACAGTTAGCAAACATAAGAACATCATAAATTTACAAATGAGAGGAGGCCATTCAGCCCATTAAGCTCGTTTGGGGAGAACTTAACTAATAGCTCAGAGTTGTTAAAATCTTATCTAGATCTGATTTAAAGGAACCCAGGGTTTTAGCTTGCAGTACACTAGCAGGAAGACTATTCCATACTCTAACTACACGCTGTGTAAAGAAGTGCTTTCTCAAATCTATTTTAAAATGTTCTCCCGCTAATTTCTACTAATGGCCACGAGTTCTAGTATATAAACTAATACTGAAATAGCCATTTGGCTTAACAGCATCCAGACCTGTTAGAATCTTATATACCTGGATCATGTCCCCCCTTAGTCTCCTTTGCTCGAGGCTAAACAGATTCAGCTCAGCTAACCTCTCCTCATAAGACATTCCTCTAAGACCAGGAATCATTCTCCTAGCCCTACGAATTGCACCCTTTCCAAGGCAGCAATGTCCTTTTGAAGGTATGGTGACCAAACCTGCACACAATTTGAACCTGCAACATGTTTTAACTGTCTTGCTGAGAGAGAAAAAATGAAGTGACGTGTTGGGATGTGGGGCTGAGGGTTTCCGTTTTTTTTTTTTTTAACATAATTTTTTTTGTCCAAAATAAGCACGGGGGCTGCGTGAGCTACAAGCTAGAATTGTATTATGACATAGCTTATCGAGGCCTTGTGCTTCTACTCATCTTATAGTCAGGCATGTAGCTACGTAGTTAAATCACAGGTTTCAACGCCCACCCCACCCCCCACCCCCGCCGATAATTTTTGTTGCCGCTGATCGGACATCTCAGAATCAGCATCAGAAAAGTTTCACTATGTCGAATATAATTGTTTACGAATTTACAGCTAGTTACGAATATTCGCTCTGCTCTCCCGAGCTGGCAAAATCTACCGAAGGGGCTGAGTTAAAGCACTCATTCTAAATGATGTAGCTCCCCCATACCTACTGTACAACATTACATCACAGCCGCCGTCACTGGTTTTGCGGTAAATTGTCATGCTGTTTTTTACCGCCAATGAGTTTTCAAAAATCGTATAGTTCTGTACCATTTTCGTTCCACTACAACCATACTCTTGAGATGAGAGAAATGTCAACATTTGTTCATGGGGAAGCTTATCCAGTGAAGTCAAATGAAAATAAAAACTTGAGTTCCCATCTGACTAATGCACAAAACTGCAAAGATTCATCTAACAGTCAAGATTCCTCCACCACAAAACCTATACACGGGGCAGCAAAACCAAAGTATGGAATCCCGTCAGTTAATGGAGGAAAAACGAACCATTTTGGCTGAATGGAATTTAAACTCGGGCAATATAAAAAACATGTACGCTCATAATATGTATCCCTTTAAGAGGATCTAGATACATTATCATACAAGGACAGATGTAATGAAGTGGTGACAATAAAGGCCAGTATATCTGGAAGGCAACTAATATCTATTAATCAAGCACGTTACATAGCTGTATCGACCTGAAACACTTTTTGTGTTATCGACTTGTATGAGTCTATTCGCACTATCTGACATGAGTCTAAAACAACGTCCAGCTATGTCGACCACTAAGAATCGGCAAATCGTGCAGCAAGGTAATCGTACTGTAAATCCAAAGGGAACAAAAAAAGAGTAAGCTTCGCAACAAGTATTTTAATCAAAGGCAGCCGTTACATTAAAATATTATTAAAACTTACGAATTGCTTATATAGAAAAGTAGGTTGCATTGCGCTACGGATCAAAGACGTTCACTTAATTTAATTATAATTACTTGAGTATTTACAAAATTTTAAAAACTCATCGATCTGTTGAAAATGTGCGGCCAATGTTTCTCTCCCCCATAGTAATGATGAAAAGTCTCTCCTCCGTCACGTTTTGCATGCGTTTACAGGCGTCCCGCATCCATCTGCACAGTTTAAATAAACATTTACAGCTCCTTCCACTTTCCGTGCCCTTTCCTTTTGCCGGTCTTAGGAGGCGCGGAGGGTCTTGGATTGCGGGGCTTGACATCCACTTTGCTCACCGCTATCTACAGAAGCAAAGCAGAGCCCACGTGTGGCCCCATGCGTCTGGTCTGTTTATGAGCTGCAACGTCATCTGTGTCAACTGCACCGAGCTTACAGACATGAGTACATTTCAGAAGAAATTACATTTAAAAAGCTAGCAGAAGTCAATTAACTGCAATAAATATAGACATTCATTTAGAGGTGAAATAACTGCGATTATATATATATATATATAATCAATGCCTGATGTAATCTATACGAAACGCATAGGCCTACTGCATTATGCTCCGCGTCTTCACGTATTGCTCATTAAATCTTAGTCAGCCTACTGATTGTTACGTTTCTCTCCCATCTACTCTGCTGAGTTTCGAATTATTTCGCCTGGGTGTGCAGGTTGTATGAGGACTCGCCCTGAAAACTTTTGTAACCATGCAAGGTTTTATTACTATTTATTATTAATACTATTGTTAATTACAATTAAACTTAACTGCGGTAGGACGCGTTTCTCAGCCGGCGCTTCTCCCCATGCCACATAAGCCTCCAAAGCGCTGTCGCAAAGTGTCACCGCGATGTCGCCATGGCTGCCTGTTCGGTACATTGGGTGACAGTTTGTAGCGTTCAAGGGCACAACTGCTCAAACCCAGAAGTGACTACATACTACATATAGAGGCGTGCGTGAGATATATCATGTGCCTCCCAATTATAGAATAGAGGAGAGTGCGGCTGAACATACAGACAGCGAGCCTCAGCATGTTACGGTACAATCCATTTATTTGTATGAAGGGTGAGGGGCAGCTTCTCTGCCTGCTGGGTCAAATGTTTGGATTTGTCAGTTTTAAAGGCTGTTTGGCGCAATATTCATATCTAGATGCGGCATTCATTTCGAATGTACCAACAGAGATCGATATCCCTGCTTTATTAATTTACAAGACATAATTTATACATTGTGCGACTACAGACATGCCTTTTTACTTCGTAGGTTATTCGTTAGTGGGCCGGTAAAAACCACACCTTCCTTATAGAGCGATATAGTAACGCATGGAATGGCTTTTGCTTGAGGTTTTTAGAACCACGCCACCAAATCCTGGGTGAAAAAGGGAACAGGCCCACAGTCCCCAGGACGTGGCGAGGAGCCCCGTCATCACACAGGAGCCACGTTGGCAATCGGATCCGTAAAGGTGATCTTGGGACCTTGTGTTATTCTCATTTACCCCGCGCATTCAGACACGCATAATAAACATCCGGATTTAACTATGCAGACCTACGTCTTCCTCACTTATCCTGCACAGGTGACGGGAACACTAAAGAACACTAATTATCGTGCAATCCAAACAGAAAAGTGTGATTCATTGTACAAAGCGGGTAAATTCTTAATCTCCATCCTTTAGCCCTTATTGCTTTTCGCCCATAAGTCTTGCCGGCCATCGCTTGCGTGGTGATGCTGATTTACCCTCGCCAGCAATCAGCAGAGGTCAGTGGCAACCCCGACCAAAGCACCAAACATTAAATCCTACGGTAAAACGCTGGATAAAAGCATCTTCTAAGCTACAAAAATTATTATTTAAAAAATACTAACTCCCGATGTCGAACGAGGCGCCGAGTCCTCATTTTGCTTCACTTATTAATTTGACTTGATCGGAAATTAACCTCAGCTGGTTCCCTGGGCGAGTTAGCGGTCAGCTGAGGGACAATATAAGTAACACGCCACAGCCCTCTATAGACTGCATTATGTCAGCCGAGAAGCAGCGCCTAATGGTTACTAATTGACTCGAAATATTTTTGCCTTTCTTTAAAAAAAAAAAAAGTTTTTGCCACTCACACCCTAGGGTAAGCATGCATTTTGCCTACGTCATAAGAAACACACCAATGTCCCAAGAACAGCTGACCACTTGCCACACTCGTGAATTTCTTAATTTTAATTCTACACAAAGCTATTCACTAATATTTGACGTGGACAGTTCCAAGTCAGACAGTTAAAATACTATAATAATGTGGCGTTTTCTGAATGGGTGTCATTGTGAAATGATTTAAAAGCCCTGTAATTAACGTTCATTCCGAGATCCTGCTTGTAATTGACTCGTATTAATATAATCAGCATAAGCTCCACAGCGTGCGGCTGGGGGCGGTTTAAAGGGAACCCGGTCACGCCTGGAACCGACTCCGCCGCCACTGGAATACCGTCCCGGTTCCCGTCTCACGCAACTTGTTACGCCGGTTCAGTGTGATACTGAGGCGCCGGTTTTGGTTGATCTGGTTTCCGAAAAGCACGAATAAATAACCAACAAGTGTGCCGCTTAACACGGGGCTCCCCGATACGTCTTTATCGAGTGTCCCTGTTTACTTCAATCCGAAATGTATTCTTGGTGCTCAAAACAACGGAAATACTTTGAGGTCGACAGCCGCCCCCCCCTCCCTCCCCATAATGAAATCACTCCCGATCGTTAATTTACGGGCGATCATCTTGAATTTTCAGCACGCAGACCTGAAAATACATTAAAATACAATAATTTTTAAAAAGCTTGGCGGTGATCAACGCCTATTTTCCCGCAGCGGCGGCGGAGTGAGACGCACTGGAGCTGGCTGCGAGCCCCGCCTCGGCGCCGGCCCGATCCGCCGGGTTCCGTGCTCAGGAATGTCCGCGGATGCTTCCGCGCAGCCAGGCCGCCTCGCCCCCACGGCCGCGGCACGAATTCCGCAGCCCGCAAACGCACCGTCCGGGGCCCCGTGATGCCCGCCGCGTCCCAAAGGCAGTCCGGGAGGGCGCCGATCCGAAGGACGGCGACGCGGGAGGATGGGGAACGCTGCCGAGATCGCGGCGGAGAGGCGTGTGCCGCCCCCGGGGCTAGCCGGCTGGCTAACGACATGGCAAACCGCACCGTTTCGGTGGCCGGTCTCGGCTAAAACAGCCCGGGCGCCAGCGGGCATTAGCCCAGCAGGTCATTCGCACGGTCGGAATCACGATCGGGGGAAACACCGCCCTTCAGCGCAGACAAACCTTATCCGTAAATCAACAATTGTCGAGAGACGCCATGTTAATAATCCACCATCATAAAAGAAACATTTGGCCATCGGCTAGCCACTCTTTTTTTTAAACTAATACATTTACATTAAATATTTAACTTACCTTCGACACTGTATTAGTATTATGCGGCTGTGCGGAAACCAGTTCTGCGATGCGATGGGAGAAAGGTTACATTTGTGTTTCCGGAATAGTTTCTTATTTCTGAATTATGGGTTTATGCCAATGAACAGACCAGTCTCCGTAGAGGTAAACATAAACGCCAGCGCAGCAAGTCGGGCTAAAACTGGGGAACTCTAGTGGCAGAACAAAGAGTTGCTTTCCCCTTCTTTCCTTGGTTATATTCCAGTTACCAAAAAAAATGAATTAAAATTAATAGAATATGGCAAATCGGCGGCTCGTGTAAAATAACCAGAATTAGGCTATTTGTTAAACTTTGCTGTATTTGTACGGATCTCGCATTGCTTTATCACAGTTAATTTGGTCAAGTTAAAGAGTATGTTCAGTAAGTCACAAAATAAACCATGCAATTGCTTATATTAGAAAGTGAATTGTACTAAATGTAAAAACTCTATTACATTTGAGAATGTCTCATGTTAATCTGCCTAAAACATGTGGCATTCTTTATTAATAATGTAGTTGCTGTAATATGATTAATTCCTGCCTCAAAAACATCGCTTCTCCTGGCTTAGAGAAACTCCCAATCCTTGCCTCTTAGTTATTAACATACTAACTGTAGAATCCCATGTACTGCTTGTTTTAGTGTAGAAAGGGGGAGGGCTGATAATCATTCGGCTCATTAAGTAAATATCATCCATTGATTTCAATCAGAGAACATAAGCTATGATTATAAGTTGGACTACTTATTGATACTTTGCTCTAGCTGTATTAAGTGTCAGACAACGAGCTATTGCTATTGCAGCATATTTATGATTGCATATCCTCCAAAGCACATTCAACACAAATGAAAAAGTGCATCATCTGAGAGTTTGCGGTTTTCACGCATCACCGCTAGAAAATGATGAGAAGCTATGAGTCGAGCGACCAAAATGATCAAGAGGCGTCAGGACTTTGGATCAACGTCGGAGTTTATCAGACAGGCCATATCAGATTTGGTAGGATGTTGTTTTGACTCGACCGGTCTCATTATTAACAAAGAGATCCTAAGAAGGAGTTGAGTAGCATGCAAAAATTCCGGAATAACAGGAGGATTTGATCTGAAACAGCATGCAAGTGAATCGCTTGGGTTTAGAGTGTAAGGTGTAAAAATTCATGCAAATAATGAAAAAAAAGAAAGATGATTAATACCATTCTGTTATAGGTTTATCTAGATGTGTGAAATCGTAGTGACATTAGAGATTCAGCGTTAAAAATCTAATTATTAAACCAATAGGTATAACTAGTCTACGTACACAAAGAACTAAAAGTTACTGCAGTCTAAATAATTAGGATTTCAGCATAGTTGTTATTGCTGAAGATGAGTGAGTATATGTAAAAAAAAAAAAAAAAAAAACCTGTAAGATGACGTGTTGATTATGGGTTTAGCTGAGCAAATTGATTGTTTCACCCATTCCGACACGGTGGGTGGGCGTTTGAAGACCGGCGTGACCTCTCATATGTGTGATAACAACACCGGTCTACGAGAACGGCACCCACGCTGTACTACTGGGGAAGTCACGTTCCCACCACGTGTTTCAAAATGATCCTGTCTAGTACGATCACCACATTATATCCCGTACTCCTAACTCGATGAAAGATTTGCCACTTTGATCCTAAATCCGATTCCGTCGAATTTAAATGTCTCTGTCTGAAATATTGATTGACGCCACTGGGGGGTGCCAAACATACACCAAAACATTAGGCGCCAAAATGGATTTGTACACACCATGATACGTGTATCCATGTTGGTGGAACATTAAGTGACCCATTTCTCGAAAATAATAAATAGCCGTACTTTATGCTTTCGCATTTTAAATAGGCATGCAATCTGATAGCAACCGCAAGTTTCTCTGATTGATGCTTTATGTGTTTTTCTCAGTGAGGGCCAATATGACTGTACTGAAGACACTCCAGTAAGTCCCTTTTTCTTCAACGTTTTAAAGAGGCACAGACAGCTGTAGCACCATTAGGAAGTTTTGAGAGCTGGAGGTGTACAGCTCTGGGAAAAATTAAGTGACCACTTCACATTTTTTAAAGTATTAAATCCGGATTTAATCCTGGTTCTGCGGGTAGAAGGTTACATTATGAAGCAGGCTGCTTCCACGCTCAAAGTTTCTAAGACAGCAGTACACGAAAACATGGTGAAACAGGAGACACTGGGAACGACGGAAAACCAGCCAGATGAAGGGCGGAAGTGACCTTCTGATGCCAGAGATGACCGTCAACTTATCCAACAATGCCTCATGAATCAGAGGATGACATCAAGTGACCTTCAAAAAGAGGTTAGAAGTGCACTGCTAGGAGAAGTGTGTAACAGGGGAACTAGAAGAAGGACTGAATTCCCATAAAGCAAGGAAGAAGCCCTTCATTAATGAAAACCAGGGAAGAGGCAGGTTGGAGTTTGCAGCCACAGGGAATCGGCTTCTGGCTCCATTAAGACCCCAAGGGGGGTGTTTCAGGGGAGCGTGTGACTTCTTCACCCAATTCACAGGGATCGTGACTCTGACCTCATATCCATTAAGTGTTTCCAAATTCAAATTGGTAAAAAATAAAAAAAAACCAAAGTGAAAAAAATTAGACCATAACAAGGACCAGTGAGAATTGCAATGGCAAGCTAAGGAAGTGATTTATTTATTTTGAATGTAGGTCCCCTGCTTTAGGAAGCAGGTCCCATGTGAACCCTATTAATATTAGACTGTTTCCGACAGGTAAAGCACAGCAGTGACTGACCCCATTGTGTAATACACTGCAACATGTGTCAGACAGCCTCCGAGCCTGTTCTGCTTTTTACTGTCCCTGTTCAGAAGACCCTCCCCCCCCCACACCCCCGCTGCCCTCATTTATTACAACCATCAGTCTCCATTAGCTGCATTTTTACTGTCAATCCCTGAAGCTAATTATCATCACACATGGCTTATATTTTCATTTTCTTGCTAAGTAGAAAGTTTCATTAAGTGCTTGAATAGCAGACAGTTTGTAAGCTTTGCCTCCAGTCTAGGTGACTGTCACCCCCGCGCTGTGGGTCACGGTACCTCAACAGCCCAATAACGACTCCACTTCCCTAGCTTCACTAAAATCATATTTCCTGCAGAAAACAGAGCAAATGTCGAATGGAATAATAAATAAACAGAATGTCAAGAAACAAGCGCAAGCTAGTCCACTAACCTAATAACCGCTACTTAAAACATTAAATTACCGATACAATTACGGACTTATCTAAAAATACAGAAACTTATTAAAAAACTGCTACTAGCACTACAGAATACAGCAATTATTAAATTTGTCTCTAACAACAATGTTCTGTTTATCCTGTTCCAGGTTGCGGTGGGAAGGAACAGGAACAGAACGCACACAATCACGCACTATGGACAAATGACCAGTTATATGTATAATCAGACTGAATCAGGAGGGCAGGAGGGTCTTTACCAGGATGTAAACCTGCAGGCTTTAGCTCATGCGCAGTTCCTGGATCCTTATGCTGTGTCCATACCAGTTAATATATAACCTGTTTTGTGTTTGTCTGCAGCGGCATGTGATTTGTTTAAAGAACTTTTTCCCCCCCCCCCCCCAATAACTCATCAGGAGGTTGCTGTGTTTTATGAAGCAGCAGGGAAGGAGGTTCACAGGTGGAATGTGTGAATGTCACACAGAGTGTCATATACGGCCGTGTGCTTTGGAAGTGCTACAGATACGCTGTGACAGGCCAACACTCCTGCTCTAAGGGCACAGGCAGTATGACTCACGTAACGTCGGGGTGATCTGCTCCCTTTTGAGCTCCCATCATCCCATCCTTTGCCTGCTCTGTCAACCCAACCCGTGTTTAATCACCCTGCTGGTTTGATTGAAAGGCACCTATAAAAGAGAATTCAGTCCATCTGAAGGAATACATCTGGATAATTGAATAATTGAGTGATTCTGCATCTGGTGTCTTTCACTGCGACTGAAGGGAAAACCTGCTAAGAGGCTGGAATGACTCGCCTTGGGGTTTATAGCCAGGTTAGGGAGTTAAGCTTGGATAATTTAAGCTTGGATAATGACTCTGTGGCTTGGTCATACTCTCGAGCTGTTAGCGATCTGGTAGGATCTCTAGCAGGACTTGACCATAAACTAAAAGTCGACCCTTAAACGGGCTGTTCCATAGCTGGGAATACAAATCATATGGTCTGAAGATATCTTTAAATATACCTATCCCTCCTCCAACCCTTATCCATTTACAGGGTTCTGGTGGGGGGGGGGGAGAGAGCTAGAGTCTAGAGTCTATTCCAAGCAACATGGGGCACAGAGCAAAGAAACATCCTGGACAGGATGCTATTACATCACAGGGCATGAATATATACCCCTCTGCCATAACATTTAAACCACTGACAGTGAAGTAAATAGCACTGATTATCTCAGTAAAACTGTCAAATGTGCCACTATATATTAGACAAGTGACAGCCAGTTCTTGAAGGTGATGTTGGAAGCAGGAATAAAAAATGGGCAAGTGTAAGGATCTGAGCGACTTTGATAAGGGCCAAATCGTGATGGCTAGACGACCGGGTCAGAGCATCTCCAAAATGGCAGGTCTTGGTGCAGTGCTCCCAGTATGCAGTGGAGAACTGCTACCAGAAGTAATCCAAGGAAGGCCAACCAGTGAACCGTCAACAGAGTCATGGGCAACCAGGGCTTATTGATGTGTATGGGGATCGAAGGCTAGCCTGTCTGGTCCGATACCACAGGAGAGCTACTACAGCACAAATTGCTGAAAACGTAGCCAGAGACAGGTCCGAGTGCCCGTGCTGATCCCTGCCCATTGCTGAAAGCACCAACAGTAGGCATGTGAACATCAGAACTAAACCATGGCACAATGGAAGAAGGAGGCCCAGTCTGATGAGTCACATTTTCTGTCACATCATGCAGATGACCAGGTACCTGTGTGTCTTTTACCTGGGAAGAGATGGCAACGGGATGCACCGTAGGAAGAGGGCAAGCTAGCGGAGGTAGATTGATGCTCTGGGCAATGTTCTGCTGGAAAACCTTAGTCCTGGGATTCATGTGGATGTTACTTTGGCAAGTACCACCTACCTAAACATTGTTGCAGACCAAGTGCACCCCTTCATGGCGACAGTATTCATCCATGGCAGGAATCCCCAGATCTCC